TCATCATAGTACATGACAACTTATTGTGAATCTTTTAGACAAAAATCATAAAGCTGGGGGATTTGGGTAGCTATTGCCCATTCACCAAAAGGAAAATATAAAATTTTCCTTTAAATATTTCAAAATATTTAAGAAGTCCTAGCATTTCTTCATTTGTCCAAATTCTACAAATTTTCTTTTGCCTATACATTATTTTATCATTCACAGTATTTATACCTAAACAATTTAAAAATCCAAAAGAGATGCAAAAACTCGATACACAAAACAATAATACTAACACTAAGATATAAGTAACTAATTACTCTTTGCCTTTCTCATGAAGCATTAAATGTGAAAATTGAAGAGTCAACATTGTAATAGCCAAAAGAAAAAAAGAAAAAAAATAAAAAGAAGAGTCAATGTTGCAAAACCGGTAGGCATTTTTTTATGCCAAAAGTTTGTGATTACCCTAATGGGGCACATCATCTCTCATTGCCCTCCCAATTTGAGTTTGTGGAATATAGAATTGACTAAAGAAACTCAAACAAACCAAAATTATATAAATAGAAACAAAAACCATTTTCCACCTAAACTATAGCTAGAAACATTATGAGATAGTTCACTTCATCTAGCTTGAAAAATAGAATACAAACAACTATAAAGACTATATATAATACTAATAAACAGTGTTATTATGAGTAAATAACAACAAATAGTGGAAAAGCCAAAATCTGCTATATAACATAATGGGTAATGTAGTGAGCACCATTAACAAATACTGGGCATTAAATAAAAAAATAAAAATACAAATCTAATAATTAAAATAAGAAACAAACTTAGTAATAAAAAACATAAAATGACCTAAGAATTTATAAAAACTATCAAAAATTATAGAAAACAATATTCTCAAATCTCAACAAATAAAAATCCTAGCTTATAATAATCAAACAAGACATAAAACATTTAAAAGTACACAAGTCACTTAAGATTAGTGAAGAAAAATAGTTAAATAATAGAAATTTGAAAAATAAAATCATTCATGATTCTAATAATCCTCATCACTCTCCTTTGCTTTTAATTCTTCTTGCTTAGCCACCAAATCATCATTGTTTTTGTCTTTTTTATTTGTTCTACTAGACTTAAATTCCTCCTCTTCCTTATTTAACTTTTCAAAATCTAAAGTACAAACCTCTTCACTAATTCTAAGAGTAGCATAAAATGCATTAACACTATAGCTTGTGATTGGAGTTCTCAAGGTTAGTGTTGGAATTTGAGAGGTCAAGGCTATAGTTGTATTTCCTTTCACTTGTGTCATAGTATAAGTTCTAATATCTCTTGCCCCTTATGCTTTCTTTACATCTTTCCAAGTCATCTTATCATTTTTAAAAACCAAATCATTATAAGCATCTTCAACTTCACCTAGTTCTCTAACCAACCACTCATTATCGAAATTGATCTCATTTAGAACAATAATATCAATCTCATCTTACATATCATAATAAGCTTTAAAAGCTTGGTTGTACTTTACAAAAGCCAAGTCATGCATTTTTCGGTGCTCAAGTTGGTTTTTTTCTTAGAATGAATTTGAAATAGCAAAAAGAAAAAAAAAACTTTTTTACAATCTCTTTATTTTATAAAATTTTTTTGCAAAAAATAAAATGTTACTTTTAATTCATTCATTCAATTAGTAGAAAATAAAAATAGAAACTTATTTGTTCAAATACACTCCAATTATGCTCACATTCAGATGCATTGTATGTCAAATTGAAGATCTAAATAGCAAACTTTTGTAAATTTGAGGCTAAATGCCTAAACAAAGTCCACCATTCAGCTGCAAACATGCAAATACTTAGTTGATTAGTCAATTTAAAATTATTAAAATTAATTAGTAAGTAATTGACAAAGGAAGGAAAATGAAAAGGCTATAAAAATAAGAGGCAGTATATTAATTTCAGCCAAAAAAAAAAAAGGAGGAAAGAAAGAAAGCATAAAGCCATTCAAGAAAAATATAGTATCAGACAAAAGATCTTATCAGGTAATTTCAAATTCCTTGATTGAATTGCTAAGTCATCACCAAAGCAAACTTGAGCTCTATTATAAATTGCCATTGCATCATATATTTTAAGTTGTGAATTAAAATCAGACTCCATCTTCTTAATGCAATCCATCAATTTATTAGTAAGTCTCAAATCTAAATCCATATTTGGAGTGCTATAAAAGACTATAAGATTTAAGTAATGAGTTGCTATATGCAAAAGCCAATAAAGTTGGCATTCCTATCTTTTGTTAATAATTTTAAATATTTCCTTGTACTTACTTTCATCATCATTTTATAATCTCTTAATGGCATCCTTAGCTTTGGTCATTACCTCATAAATATAAGCATTGCTGGCTTACTTTCACCGATTACAAGAGAACCAATAACCCTTAGAGTACACAATACATTATTAAAAAATGAAACAGCTATTACAGTACTGACTACCTTTACTCTTTTGGCATCTCTAGCCATTTGGCATCTCTAGCCAACTTACTACTTGTTCATTCATTGGATGTAAACATCTTTCAAAGGTTGGCCTTTTGCTTGTACTCACTTTATAATGAAAAAAAAATTGTAGCAAACCTTGTCACTCCATATCAAACTACCTCAATCTTGTTAGTGAATCACCTTATCAAGTTTAAGGTGCTCAAATCGTTGTAAATGAATTCAACAAGACTTATTGCTTTTTGTATTGTTTTTTTTACTTTTGAAATCTTTTCAATATCCTTTAACCTAAGATCAATACAATGTGCTACACATGGAGTCTAGAATATGTGCTCTCTTCTCTTCCAATAATTTACTTAAGAGAAATAAAACAAAATGCATTAATAAATTAAATTTAAAGTTAAATAAATAACAGATATAAATTATATAATAGAATTATTAAACTAGGAAATAAAACAGATGTATTAATAAATTAAATTTAAAGTTAACTAAATAACAAATATAATATAATAACTATACTTACTAGTTGCAACATAATTGCTTCAATTATTTGTTATAAGTTGAATATCTTCTTCTCCAATAACCTTCTCTAACCTCCTCCACAATACCATCAATTAACTTAAACAACCTTTCCCTAGTTTTGACAAAAGCAAAAGCATTAATAAACTTTACAAACATTGTACCAACAAGAGAATTGACAAAAAAAATTGGTTATGCTCCATTCCCTCCCATTTGTCCATCCATTGGACATAATAGTAATCCATATCTTGGCCATTGTTTCCTATGGTACTCCATTAGTTCTCTAGTGTGCTCCAACTCTTCTTTTAGACATGAGACCCTTAATTCATGGTAACTAGGAGGCTTGAGATTTTTTTCATATTGTCTAATTGTTTCTACCATTAGTTTGAAACTTTCTGAACAAGCAACATTGAAAGGGCTACCCTTTGGTAGAAGAATTGAGCAATATATTGAATTTTTTCAACCCTCAAATCCTTGTTAGAATCTTTTATATTTGATTGTCTACACATTTTAAGCTATCTTTTTAAGAATTTCCTTGAGTTTTTGGTACATGTACAAATCTATAGGGCCTTTGTATTGCCCTATATTGGCTTTCTTACATCTACCACCAATAAACAGAGTTGATTCTCTTGGCATAAGTTCTTCCTCTTCATTTTCCTCTTCAAGATCAATATTACCACAACTAGACACAAATATCTCCTTTTCTAATTTTTTTGTTGTAGATTAACCTAAACACTTCTCTAATTGTTGGTGGGTATTTAGGACATGGAGCCACATCCTTTTTGATCCCTATTTGATTCCTTTTAGCTTTTGTGATACCTCTAGTGGTAACTCTATTACAAAAATTGCATACCACCCAACTTGTGTTATTATGATCCAACACTTATTATATTTCCAACCAATCTTATCATTTAATCTACTTGTTTTTTATCTTAATAAATTGGTCATTGATCCACTTTCTATGTCATTGTCAAAATCAATAAAAAAAATATATAGTGAGGTTTTATATTAAACAATATATAGTACTTTAAATCCACTCTCCATGTTACTATTTATATTTCATAAATGGAAATTAATATATCAAACAATAAGCAAATTAATCAATCTTGAGTTCTTGACAAGCAAATCGATATACAATCTAGAGTCTAGACTTCCATATTAGATAATACATCACATAGTCAAAATCAAGCTTTTCTTTTCTTATATGAACTTGCTTGAATACAAAAAAAAAAAAAAAAAAAAAAAAAAAAGAAAAAAAGAGGCGGCACTTGCAAATCAAGCAAAGAAAACGAAAAGCAATTAAATTGTTTGATGAAAGTTAAAGTCGAGTAAAGCTTTGT